TTTACTCTAATATTTTTCTCTAAATATTTTGAGAGGTCAAGAATACTTTCTTTCTTCTTCCTTTCTTTCGGCTCTCCGTGAGCATTCTGTTGCTATAAGAAATGTAAAAGAAATTGAATACCTCGCAGGTTATGTTATGGGAATAACAAACCTTTACCTGTTTTGTCGCCTGTAAGAAGAAACGTATCAATCAGACCGTTCTATTGATTTTTTTCTTATGGAGTTTCATTGTTAAAAAAGATTCTTTTTATACTTACAGACATTGTTTGCTTTTTTCATAAACCAAGAATGTTACGCTACCGTACTAGTGCATGAGTACGGCACATTTTAAATCGTCATTTACTTTAGAGGTTAGACCTCTTGTTTGAATTTTTCAAATATCGATTCTCGATTCTTTCCCGCGCTTTACATTCGTTTTTAGTTTGAAGCATCATCCGAAGTTACAATCGGTTCAAACTGAACGTTCTAGGTGGTTTTCAGATGGAAAACGGTGCGAAATCGAGGAAAAATTGTTAGTAAAGTATAAAGATATTTGAAACATCTTTATTGTAATAACGCCAACCGTTGTTTAAATGGTAACGTGGGATGCGGTAACATTTGCAACAATTTCGTAAAAGCTTGGATTTATTTCATATCCGATTTATAAAAAAATACATGTCAATACATGGTGTGTGAGTGAATGAGTAGTACAGTACAGAGTGACTGTTCCTCATTATGTCTTTAAGGATAGAGTCTGTAATTAGTTGTAACAAATGTTCGTTTAAATCCTATGATTATGAATGGAATCTTCGTAACGCAGCAGATTTATCGTTTCATTCTAACTGTTCGGCGTTTATATCGACCTCAACCTGTGTTATGTGTATATGAATGTGTGTACGTGCGCATGTACACACATACACCTAGATCTTTCGTATCGTTTCTATTAAAAGTATCAATACTTTGTGATCGTTGTGCTTGTGATAAATTTCCCTTTAGAAATTTTCTTTACCATCCGACAAAATTAATATTGTATGTCGATTTATGAAATTTTGACTCTTCGATGTTACATTCACACTCGTACTCGCATTACTTCTACTCGTATATTGTTCTTAACTTCTTTCTGGCTGGCTGCTTTTGGATGGACACTGTGTATATTATTGTGTACGATTAAAATTTATTGATGCAATAGCTATTTCTTCGTCTTCTTAACTTATAACTTACGTTTCAATTTACATTACCGTTTTAGGCGAAATTTAAATTCGATGTATAAAATACATGCTTCGACCAAGCTTCCAACAAGCAAGGTTTAAATACATCTATGTAAAATCTATGATCGTAACGTTTCGCAGGTATGTGTTTTTTGTATTTCTGTGTATGCCTGGTAATTTAACTGTACGCTATTTCACGGAGCTTAAGGAGTAGTATATTATCGTTTATCGTTTTATCGCGTATCGATTCGGTTTGAGAGACTCTAGAAAAAAGAAAAGATACTATGGCATTTACTGTTGATAAAACGAAAAATTAGGTCACAGCGTTACAATATTTCTCTTTTCTAGGAGCACAGGCGATATTTGTTTCTGGACGAAATTAATTGCTGATGATTTACACACGGTAACTCTTCGTGTAAAATTGCAATAAAGAATTTACCAGCCATGTTGAAAAATATATAGATTACTTGGAGTATGTCATTATCTGAAGTAGATTTTTAATACTTAATTATTAAACATGTTTAGACGATTCGTCATGTTTCCTGTTGGTCTTCTTCTTGCTCGGATAACAGTGAAATGTCGTTCAACTGATCCACATTATTGTTCTCCGTTTCATCTTGCTCCGAGAGAAGTGGAACCACTTGACGACTGTTATTATCTGTCTCAGAAGGTCGTCTACTTTGCCCGGGCAAAAAAGACATTGGTATCGTGCCTGACGGTGTCGTCGGTGCTGATCGCGACAACCATCGTCTCGTTTTATTCTTCGAACTTGGAAGTCCTAATGGCATATACATCTTCCCTCGCGTTCTTCTGGCTTTATAAGAGCCAACATCTCCTGGACTTAGAGGCCGTTGCGTAGAACCATTTGCATTCGTCGTACACAAAACTTGAGGTCGATTCTGATAACAAGATAAAACGGTACTGTGCCCACTAGGTAGCTGTGGTAATTGTTGAATCTTGTCTAACAATTCACGTAACTAAAAGATAACATTCCATGTGAAAATATCGTTTCTTATCTGATTGCATTTTATACTGTACAATTCATTCGAGTAAAATGAATACCTCTATCGTTGGACTAGTAGCCCGAGGTGGTGAACACGGAGATTGAGCAGCTAAACTCGATATGTCAGAGGTAGTCCTATGATTAGCCAATGAAACAACAGATCCAACATCCATACTTTCCATTCTTGCACATTCCACTGCAGATAGCTCGTCAACGCTATCATTACACGAGTACGGTGGTGGAATTATGGTGTTTGCTTCATTCACCATATTACACATAAAACTTGAGCCTAAGGAATCTAAGGTGCTCGCGTGTGAGAGCGATCTGAAATAGCGCATTACAAATCCTGAAGTTCCTTTGCCAGATCCTTCATCATATCCAATTACCAGTGGATATAAGTTTGGTTTCGCTGTAACCTAAATGGTAATTATATTAATACTATGCCATTAATCAAGTAAATTGTATGATTGTTAAAAGTGTACCTCATTGTATGGAGGTGGTAATGCTTGAACAAAGGAACCAGAACGACTATAACGAGGTGGCGAGTACCAGGATTCTGACGACCCTCTGTCAGAAGAGGTAAAGTCTTCTACTATTTCTGGTGACCATGAACGATGACGGAATGAATGATGACGTTTCCATAACCAGCAACCACATGCTGCTGCTATAGCTAATCCAACAAGCACCGCTGCCCTAAAGAACACAAGGTGTGCAATGAGTCTAATCATCATAAAGAATTAACAATTTTGGGAAATTAAACACAGACCATAAGTACCAATAAGTCCAAATCAAGAAATTAAACATGTCTGATGCAGAGTGCAGTTGAAATACACTGTAACAACAGCCAAAGGAACAGCACTCTTTTGGAGGAGAGCAGCTAAAAATTACAAAATACTTGCATAATTTATACTAAGGACTATATAAAGTAGGTACGTAGTTTATTTAAAAACATACAAAGAGCAATAACTTACACATGCCCCCCATTGCACAGCCTAGAAGACACCTAAAAATCAATGAACAAAAAAACAAAACAATTGTTATTAAATGGAAACTTCAAATTTGATTAAATTCAATAAAAATTTGTATCAAAATCTATCACATCTAAGCATTACATGCGAACGTATTTAAACACTTTATATAATATTTTCTACAAGAGAATGACACTTGAAAATAAGTAGAAATAAAAAGGAAAATTGAAAAATTTCAGAATTTTTAATGAGGAGTGCCATGATACTTGCTGCAGCAAAATTCCATCAATACTCTCGTACACATCAAGAATCATCCGACTTTAAAGGATTGTTTTCGTTGCAAGAATACGTACACGGTGCACATAATAATTTGACGTACACTGTGTTGGTTCGACGGAAAAACATCGAGCATTTCAAGTTGTCATTAAAAAAACGGATGTGGAAAAGACTTACGCATGAATGAGAAATACAACGAACAAGAGTTCATTGTCTAGGTACGGACGAGCCGTGCGTAAAACCGACGTATTGATCGACCTCAGGTCGAGCAGAATAGAACAAGGAGACACTGGTACACGAGATATGCGCTAACATTCTACGGAGCTATAGCATGCTGCAGCGGTATACGACGGCTGCATCATTAGAACGGTTCCTCATCGTCGCTCTTACTTGATCGACGAATAGCGTCAGGAGTGCAGTTATCACAAGCACATCGAACGCGCGGCCTACAGCTTGCACCATAATTCTACCACAAAATGCATGCCACCGCGCCACCTTATATACTTCGATTTCCCTTATCGCATATCTACTAATGGCTGCGGAACAAGCTCTTCCTTCCTGTTCTAATTTGAATTCCCGAGTCTTGCGCTTTACGACTCTTACTATTCTGATAAGTAATAGGTACATTTTGTTCGAACAAATCCAATATAACTTATTATAATCGATATTAATTCAACAAGCTAAGGAATTTTTTATAAATACATACTACTCCTTTTTATATACAGTTATATAAAAATCTTATAAGGAAATCAATATATTTATTTCAGAGCGTAAACTGTAAAAGCGCGCTTTTGAAAATAAAATGCAGGCACGTACCAACAATCGGTAACTCATTATTTCCGTATTTTAAAACCGCATTTTGATAATTTCGTATTTCGTATTTTTGTTATAACTTTTTAATAAAGCTTCAAACGATTTATATTTATATAATATTTTTTTTATTTATACCCATAGAACATACTTATAAAGTTTGGCCGGGAAAAACTGGAACACCCTGTATATTGCATAGAAGATTAATCTATCGCTAATCGGTAGAAGAATTATCGAATAATTTGGTGGAATATTTTTGAAATATAACGAACGACGTGTAAGCAAAAGGTACACGATAGACCTAACACCACAGACGAGATATGTATAAGGGTGTTTCTTTTATCCTGAAAAATTGGAATATCTTGTGAGGGATTGAACCTATTAAAAAAATGTTTGAACAAAAGTTGTTTCGTATGAAGGACACTATATGGTGCAAATTATTTGTTTACAGGTTGAGTGGTGGGGGGAAATTTCAAAGTCAAGTTAATTTTTTTAAATGGAACCATATATTTTTTTATGTGCCAATCAATGCATATTTGAATTCTCTTCAAAAAAGTATTAGAAAACTTAGGTCGAAAATTGATTAATTTAGAAGTTGATTTTTATCCCGAACGCCCATATACTCGAAATACTGTGTCGCACCGAGATTCAAAGGGAATCTCCTGATTGTTACTCATGCGCTTAGGTTGCACGAGCGTCACGTGGTGACGTAGATTGATGACGGAAAGTGCCGGACAGGCAACGCACACGGACAGAGCTACCACTATTTTTGTGTGAGAGCACGAGACGGTATAGCGAGAGATGGCGGTAGGGCATAGTGGGGGTAAGTCTTTGGCCCACGTTCCACGATTCTGGCATCACTGCTACTTGCTACTGCTACCCGCATCCAGGATCGGGCGGCTCCCGCTGTTGAGGCCGTAAAAACCATACGATCGCGGTCTTATGGGGAGCTATTTAGAGCCTCAGTCTCTGGATGCGCGCGACGACGCAGGCCACCCCTATCTCCGCCAGGCGGATGGTCCTTCCATGATTCTCCCCCGTGGCTAGCACCAATGTTTCATTTGCATAACACA